GCTTTCACCCTAGTTGCCTACTAAGCATTAAGTGAGACAAAAAAATTAATTGCTTCCATAGAATCCTGTACCAATGAGAAAAAAGCTGAACTTCAAGCTAATTGAAACCAAAATTCCCCTTAAAAATTGCTTACACTCTGGTTGGTGGTGCAATAGGAAGTTATTACCAAAGGTGTTTATTTCAGAGACTAATTTGAGGCAGTTAGACCCTAAGCAATATTTTATTTGCCTGGGTCAGAAGCAAGGGCAGTGTCCAAGTTTAAACTTCCAGGTTTAGAGAAATGTGGAACATGGATTTGGGTGGAGCTGCATTGAGATTTTGTAGTGAAAAGAGAACTGCCTCTTTTTAAGCTGTCCTTCACAGCTGCCTCTGGAGTTGTTCTCTCTTATTCTCTCCTGAGAGCCCTGGAATCAGCTATGACTGTTAACAAGAAGGATAAAGAACTCTTCAGTTTCACAGCCCAGGCCCAGTGAGAGGGAGAAGTGGCGATCGGGGGATTGTGGTGTGAGGGCGTAAAGGTTTGCTAGACTGATTGTCAGTCCATTGCTGGGTGCCTGTCATCCAGCAACCTAGGGAAGCCCAAATAGGAGAATCAGTGCAGTCCAGGCCAGCCCAGACCTAATGTCTTAAAAATAACCAGCTCAAAAAGAGACTAAAAGAGGATAGATAGTCTTAGGAAAAAACACCAAGTTGTAATACCCAAGTGCCTCTTCATATGAATATAAACCATTATGCATACTGAAACTCCAAAGATAAGGAAACAAAGGACCTTTTCTTAATTTGTCTTTTTGCTTTTAGATGACTCTGTATTCTTTATATATGGTGTATGCATGTGCACATCTGAGGGAAGGTGGGGGAGGGCACAGAATCAGTGGAAAGCTTGTGGAAAAAGTGCAGCAGGAGGCCCACCAGCTGCACTAAACATTGATGGAAGTGAACCAAGCAACTCCTGGGCTGAGATGGGGGGCAGGAATGGGAGAGCATGAAGGAACAGGTGACAGTAAGCAAAAGGAAAGAAATGTACTTATTACCTGAGGTATGTAAAGGTAACCCTGCTGTATGTCACTTCTAAAACAACAATAAAGTAATAATAATAATAAAAGCTTCAGTGGTGGGATACTTGCTTAGCAAGTGTGAGGCCCTGAGTTCAAATCCCAGTACCACCAAAAAAATTTTAAGGACTTAATTTAAAAAGTTGGAAAACTTTTTTTTATTGTGAAAATACTGTACAGAGGGGTTACAATTACATGGGCAAGATAATGAGTACATTTCTTATCAAGCATTGTAGCCTCCTCCTTTGTTAAAGTTGGAAAAATTTTTAACTAGCCCAATCAAAGAAGGAATTTGCACATGGCCACGAAGTTGAGCTAGGTTTGTCACTCAGCTTTTCCGACCACCCACTTCGTCAATCTTTCCATTTCCCTGTGTAATTATTTTGAAGATACTGACATATGTCTGTGCTTTAGCATTTAAAAGAAGTGAACAATATACTTAATATTTTTTCCTTTGAAGTTATTCATTTTTTTTCTTCCTTTTCTGAGTCCCACTCCAATTAGTAAGTAATTAACCATTTTGAGCACCAAGTTTAAGCTTAACCTGAATGCTAGAATGATGATAGGATAGAGAGTCTCTAAAGGAAAAATAGATTTGATAAATTATCCGATATTGATATATATGATACACCTAGATCAATATCATATTAGTTTTGTTTTATGCAAGTTTGGGGTTGAATTCAGTGGCTCAAGCTCTTGCTCAGAATACTTGTTCGGTTGGTTCTTTGAGCCAAGCCTCTAACCTGATTTTTTTTTTTAATTAAAGCTAGAGTTTTTTAGACTTTTCTGCCTAAGCTAACCTGAAACTAGCATCATTAGCTTTTAGCCTCATGAGTAGCAAGGATTACAGGTGTGAGCCACTGATGCTTGGCTCCAAGGTGTCTCTAAGCTGTAAAAATCCTGTGATTAAAATACAGGGCTATACAGCAATTACAGAGTTAAAACCTGGGTGGCGGCTCAAAGGTTAGCATTTTCCCTTTTTTGGTTGAAATCAAACCTGGGGAGAAACTTTCATTATGGTCTCTGAGAAGAATTCAGCTCCATTGTGGAGCCTGGGGATGGGGGCCTACAGTTGACTAAGTACTGGCTCAGAGACACAGCACTTGTTGTTACTTTAGTATTGGCTTTTTTTAATATTTAATATTTTTCAGTATGAATCACAGGTGAAATTTTCATGCCATGTGTAAACAATTTCACTTTTTTATTGAAACAATGAATTCAGGAATGTCATATTGAAATATCGGCCATTTTGCTTTTATCAATGTATGGAGAAATACTTTTATATTAAAACAAGAAATGATGTCATTTAATATGGAGTAGATTTTATAATTCAAGGTTAGCAAATCTCAGGAGGTAATTTAGGTCACCAAGCTAGATTTGAAAAAGGAAAATAATATTTTCCTTGTCTTTCTCATGTACTGTTACCAATTTCCTCCTCATACTTTGGGGCATATGGAGGGTAGGATGGTTTATGAAAGTGGCCCTGGCTTAATTTATCTGTGTAATGGACACTGTGGCCCTGGAGAATTTACTTACCTTCATACACTTCCATTTCCCCATCTGGAGAAGGAAAGGATTGGTTTACATAGTATTAGTGGTACCTTTTTGCTTTTGGTTTCTCTGTTGTTGTTGTTGTTGTTGTTGTTGCTGGTTCTGCACCAGTACTGGGACTTGAACTCATGGCCATGCAATCTGGCTTGGCTTTTGGTAGTTAATGGGAGATAAGAGTTTCACAGAGCTTTCTGCTCAGGCTGGCTTCAAACCATAATCCTGCCACCTGAGGGTAGCTAGGGGTGCAAGCGTGAGCCAACCACAGCACCACCTGCCTTTCCATCTTTTTCTATTTCCATTTTAGAGCTGAGTAGAGATGTAGTATCTTACTCTTGGTGATTAGAATAGGGCTTATTCAATGTGTAGGCCAGTCAGTGAATGTTTCTGCCTCCTTGTTTAACGTGTGTATTCATTGTTCATTTAGGCTGCAGAGCCCATGCTATGTTTGGGCTTCAATTCACAGATACCAAAATCTCTCTGCTAGTTTTCAGTCACTGACAGACAGAAATCAAATAAGTAATAGAATTATGCAAGAGAAAAATTACTCTTATTAGTAATTGTTCTCATTGCGTGTGTGTGCCGGTGCTGGGGCGTGAACTCAGGGGCTGGCCACTGTCTCCAAGCTTTGTGCTCAAAACTAGGGCTCTACTACTTGAGCCACAGCTCCATTTGTTTGGCGGTTTATTGGAGATGAGAGTTTCAATGGACTTTCCTGCCTAGGCTAGCTTTGAACCATGATCCTCAGATCTCAGCCTCCTGTGTAGCTAGGATTGCAGGCTTGAAATGGTTCTAATTTCATTGTGTATGCCAATACCATGGCTTGAACTCAGGGCCTGGAGCCCTCACTGTTCTGTTTTCCTGCTTGGGCTGATACTTTATTGCTTGAGCCACACCCCTAGTGAGCATTTTGTTAGTTAATCAGAAATAGAATTTCTCTGACTTCTACAAGGGCTGGCTTCAAACTATGATCCTCCAGATCTCAGCTTCTTGGGTAGCTAGGATTACAGGCATGAGCCACATGTACCCAGCTCATTAGTTTTTTGCTTTTGTTTTTTGCTGGCTATGGGGCCTGAACTCTGGGTCTGGGCGCTGTTCCTCAACTCTTCAGTTCAAGGCTAGCGCTCTACCACTTGAGTCACAGCACTATTTCCAGCTTTTTCTGTTTATGTGGTGCTGAGGAATCGAACCCAGGGCCTCATACATGGGAGGCAAGCACTGTACTACTGAACCACCTTCCCAGCCTAGTTTTTAATTTTTAAGAAAAGAAAATATTTGAAGTTTTACTTAGACACCCTTAAATTTAAGCACTTAAAAGTAAAACAAGAAAGATACCCCTTCATGTTTACACACCCAACTTTCATCTAGGGCCATGCTATACTGAATGTACTCAATCTCATCTACACTTTATAAACATCTTTAAATGTAGTATATGGCTGGAAAAGATGCAAGAGTATGGTTTACAGTCTCTACACATCTAATGTGTAGGTGAGCACTGTGTGTGTCTGCCCATCCACTATGGTCAAGTGAGGAAGCAAATAGTGAGAAACTAGTGAGAAACTGCCAGGAGGTAGGACTAAACACCAAGGTATAAAGGATACTTCTTTTTTTTTTTTAATGCCACTGACAGAAATAGTCCCAAGAGAGGGAGAGCTATAGTTTTCTTCCTACTAGCTTCTTAGCTCTATGTTCTGATTTTGGACAAAGAAGAGAGGTAGAGACTGAAGAAAATTATAAAGCATAGCCCCATCAAAATGACTTCCTGCCCAGCACCATTCTAGCCACTCAGGAGGCTGGAGAATCACAGTGGCCAGCTCAAACAGAAAAGTTCGTGAGACTCCAAAAACAATCAGCAAGAAGCCAGCTTGGAGTCATGGCTCAAGTGGTAAAAGCACCAATCAGCCAAGAAAGCTAAGCAATCTTGAGGTCCTGAATTTAGACCTCCACTACAAGAGAAAAAAAAAAGGACGAATGCTTGATTTCTATACATTGCCTATGCCAGACAGACAGATGGTTTCAGAGATGGGTACAAGATAGTCCTATCCTTGTTTGCACAAAGGAAAGTGCTAGAGAAACAAAGAAAGCCACTGTCTCTAAAATGAAATTATGGTTTTATGGTATGTGTGCTTGGAAGTGGTATTAGCAAACCCTCCCATGCTCTGAGAACTGACTAGAAGACCAGATACCTGAGCCATTGAAGTATACAGACACCGTGTTTTTAGCACACAAGGGAACAGTAGATAAAGAAAAATACCATCCCAAGAGGGTGCTTGATAATGGAGATCATCCATTTACATCTCCTCTTTCAGAATTCAAAAAAGTATTGAGTAGTTCACTTTTCTATTTTGTTGCCAACTATCTGCCAAAATGTCTTCTAATTCTATTCTTCCCTTTTGCAGCTAAGATACCAACATGGACTAGGGACTCCAGACTTGAGGCAAACCCTTCCTAACCTGAAAAACTTCATGGAGCATGGGCTGATGGTCAGGTGGTGAGTATCTCTGAGAACCAGAATCTTTCATGTAGGTAGTGAACCTGGGAGACTTCCCTGACTCCCATGTTGCTCTTCACTAGCCTTCTGGATATCCTTCTGCAGCAAGATGTCTGAAGTAAGGGAAAGGGTACTATCCTACTTGGGTAGTTCTGAGCTTGGCTGGGTAAGTAGGTAGTACACCCTTTGAGGGAGAGGACATCTAGAACAAAGAACTTTGGAGAGTTGAATAGACAGACACTGAATCTTCAAGACTTGGCAAAAGAAAGAAAGAGAGAGAAAGAAGGAAGGAAAGAAGGAAGGAAGGAAAGGAAGGAAGGGAGAGAGAGAGAGAGAGAGAGAGAAAAGACAAGGGAAGCTAGGTATCAGTAGTTCACACCTATAATCCTAGCTTCCCACAAGGATGAAGGATTGAGGTTTGAAGCCAGCTGAGGCAGAAAAGTCTGCTAGACTCCATCTCCATCCAATTAACCAGCAAAAAGCTGAGCTGGCCAGACTCCAATGGCTCAAGCCTATAATCCTAGCTACTCAGAAGGCTAAGATCTGAGGATCAAGCTTCAGAGCAAGCCCAAGCAGACAAATCCAGGTAACACTTACCTTTGGTTAACCAACAAGACCCAGTTCTAGAGCATGCATGCACGCACGCACGCACGCACACAAGCTGGGCTGAGATTCTGGTTCAAATAGTAGACTGCCAGCCATGAGCAAACAGTCCTAGTGAAAATGTGAGGCTCTGAGTTCAAGTCCCTGTACCAGCAGAGAAACAGAGAAAAAGAGATTCTGATCGCATACAGAGAGGGAGGGAAGGAGGGAAAGGTAAGATAGGGAGAGAGGGAGAGGGGGCGAGAGAGATTCTGATCACAGACCTTTGTTCTCATCTGCTGGGTTAATGTGAAGTCCTGCCTCTCTGAAACTTGATTTTCTTATTTGTAATTCCTCCCTGCTCCTCTCTGGTTAGTTATGAGGATGAAACAAGGTATGAGGTAGAAAAACTGTGAGGAGGAAGGAATAAAACTTTCCTTCTATAAGGATGGGCTTTAAGGATTATAAGAAAGTGACATCTGACATTTTTAATTTGTTTTTGGTCCAGTCTGAGTCTCAAAATGACAGGTTTCAGACATCTGGATGCAGGCAGAACTCGTTTTAAGCAAACATTGAGCTAAGCACTCTGGGAGGTGATGAGAGGTATCCAGCTCCTCCCTGCACTCAAGGAAGTTATGGTCTGATTGGAAACGGAAAGTTTCCTAACACAATTGGTAAATTACCTGAAATAAAGAAGAAAGGGACAGCCCACAGCACTACCTGATGAGTCAATAAGTGAAGCTTGCTCAATACTAATGGAAGATCATTCCTGTCTCATTTTCTGAAGAGACTATCTTTTCTCCAACTGGTAGATCATGACTCCTCTCTCAAGCTCCAAGTTCCCTAATATACAACTCTCTGTCTCCAGATCCCTTGTTCTTCTGCATTGTTTCATCTGTCTGCCCATGGGCTGGGCTAGTACCACATTCTTAATTATTATGAGACATAACTTTTATCATTGTCATTGAAGTTGAAAGATGCAACTCTCCTCTCCCCTGACATTTGGAACCATTTTAGAGAGAGGATACAAAAGACAGACTAGTACAATCAAAATGTCAGTTTTAGTACTGATAAAGCCACTTGGAAAATGTGGCTTTAGATCTGTAATAAAAGGGGCTTAGGAAGATATCACTCAAAATTGAACTCACTCTCACCATCACCACGTGAGCTGGAGAGCCACTGCCTCCCCTGCAGAGGAAGCCTTAACACACTGCAGAGAGCAGAGAGTGTTTGGCTGGCTCCTCTGCAAGAGACCTGAGCCAAAATTACCCAGATCCTGCTGAGCTTCTAAGTCACCAACAGAAGAGTCCTCCTCTAGCCAGAGGATGGAGAGACATTCCTAAGCCAGACTCTCATAGGAGAGAAAAGGAAAATGTTCCCAACCTTCTTGCTAACCTTCAGGGAAAAGCTTCTACTAAGTGCCTCTTCAAAACTCTTGCCTTTTCTTAAGAATCTTGTTTTAAAGTGAGTATGGTGGTTTACATCTGCAATCTCAGCTACTCAGGAGGCACACATCAGGAAGATCACTGTTTGAAGCCAACTAGAATTAAAAAAAAAAAAAATTAGCCAGATCCTATGTAAACAAACAGCCTAGGCATGAAACTCCCCTACTAAGGAGGTATAGGTAGAAGGATTACAGTCAGAGGCCAGCCCTGAGCAAAAATGAAAGACCCTACCCAGAAAATAATAATGAAAAAAGAAAAGACTAGAAATGTGGCTCAAGTGATAGAGTTCCTGTCTAGCAAATTATAGATATGTATATAATATATTTAGTTATATATTATATTTATATATAATCATTTGAGTGATTTGGAAGCTTTACAAGTTTTCCTACTAACATGGTGTCTAGTCATTTTTTAACACGCCTCTGTGAAGTTTTATAACTTTCTTCACAATGATCTTATACATCTTTTATTAGGTCCTAGGTACCTTACAACTTTCTCTACTATTATCGATGTTTTATTATACTATTCAACTTTTTTGTGACTACGTCCAGGAATACCACTGGTTTTTATTTAAAAAACAGCCTTACTAACAGTGATTACAGTAGCTTATCTTAGTGCCCTTAAATTTTCTGTATACAGTTATAATTTCAGTGACGGTGCTATTTCCATTTTTGCAGCTTTTTTCTTGCATTTTACTGTGAAATAGAAGCAACATTGATTCCTTGCTTTGCCCTTGACTTCACAAAATCTAATTTTCCACCATTAAAGACTGTGCTTATTACAGATCTAATAGATACCCTTTAATGAAGAGAAGTTTTTCCTTTCCTTATGTGCTAAAAGTTGGTTTTAAATCATGAATATATATTTTTTAATTTTATTAAATGCTTATTCTGAATCTATTGGAAGTATACTATATTTTTTCTCCTATAGCATGCTAATGTATTGAAATTAGTGTGTTTTCTAAGGTAAAACCATATTTGTCTCTATTTGTCATGGTGCAGTTTTTTCCTTACATTGTTGGATTTGTTTGCTAACTTTTTAGAATGTCTAAATCTGCAAAGTGAAATGAAACTGGCCTATAATTTTTTTCCTTTAGTTAAAATCCTTTTCTGATCTTGGCTTTCACAAGACCAAACATGAGACAGTCTGTGCCATGAGCTAAATGGAGGATCTTCCTCTTCTATTCTCTGAAATCGTTTATAGAAGATAGGAATTATCAGTATCTTGAAGGTCTCAGAGAACTTAGCAAAAACCTGGTGCTCTTTGTTTGTTGGGGCAGTGTTGATTTTTAACTACTGGTTCAATTTCTGTAATGATTACAGATCTCTTTATGTTCTGTTAAGTTGATGTTTAATACCCCATTACCTCACTGCAGTCTGGTTCCTTTTGTCATTCTGCTGTGGTTCCATTTATCTAGCCAGGAGCCTATTGAGCTTTGCTGCCAAACCCAAAGGTCCCTTTTCTGACCTCATCCTGTCGAGTGTCTCCAAGGCCTCCGCTCTTCTTGGAACATAGTCTTACTGACTTCCACAGTTCTTCCTCCTGGCTTCCTCATCTGAAATGTTTTTTTTCTCCCTCTGGCATATTTCTTTCATTTCACGCGATGGCCAAGTGGCACAGCTTTCTGGGTCTCCATCTTAGCTTCTCTCTGTCTTGTGTTCCTCTCATTCATTCCCACCATCTCAAAATTAAATAAATGAATAAATGAATAAATAAATGATCGGGACACTACTCCTTACAGTGTCACAGGCATCCGCCTCAGCTGTCCTGCTTCCCATCCTCTTCCTCCCAGCACAGACATCCAGTATGCTTAGTTGTTCTGGGAAGTTATCATTGATTCTTTTTTCTTTATCCCTACCAAACCCAATCACATTCATAAGCAAACCCTCCATGTCTACCTGCCAGGTACATAACCATAGGTATCTTTCTGGCTGCTTCCCACCTCCTATGTCATCACCACCCAGTCTAGGCTGCCACCTTCCCTAATTCAGACAGCAGGGCCAGCACCATTCATCTCCCTGACTCTACTCTTGTCCCATCCACTTATTCTCCTTAGGAGCAGTGAGCTTTTTAAATTCTACATATGGTTTAACTACTCTGTAGCTTCACTGGGCATCACATTCTGAGATAATTCTAAGACTCCCCTTCCCCCCTCCATGGGCTTCCTGTCCCCTGCCTCATGTGACCTCACTCTCTCCACTGTGGTGGTCATTGCTACATTGGTCTTCATTTAGTGACATGGCAGCTCTTTGCTGACTGAGCTGTCCTATTTACTGTTCCTTCTGTCCAAAGTTCTTGTCATTACTCCTCCACTTGTGTCTCCTCATCCCGCAACCCCTCTTCCACATCATCCTACATCTTCCTCCTTATCCTAGGACTTCATCAAAACAGAACAGTTTAAGAAAAGGCACACACACAGAGGTTTTACTGGCAAAGCTAGAGTATACATTCATTTTAGTAATAAAGACCAGGGGGGGTGGGAGAAGCGGAGGGTGGAAGGATGCCTATGATTCTAGCTACTCAGGAGTCTGAGCTCAGAGGATCAAGGTTCCAAATCAGGCCAGGCAGAAAGTCCATGAGACTCCTATCTCCAATTAAACAACGAAAAAGCTTGAAGTAGAGCTGTGGCTCAAATGGTACAAAAGCTCAGGAACAGTGCCCAGGTCCTGAGTTCAAGCCTAGGACCAACACACACACACAGACACCTGGGTATGAAAAAGTTTATGTAATTTTCCAATCTTTTTTTTAAGATGAGTACAACATAAAATTAGAAAAGGTATTATGAGGAACAAATTACTGAAACCACACAGATAAGGCCCCTTTTTTCTGAGATGTCTTTAGACAGTATAACCAAAATATTTACATCGAAATGCTCCTCACAGAAGCCTGACTACCCTTTCTATAATTTCCAGTAACCCTCAATTCTTAGGTATAGAGAAATTAAATGACTTTCTGATCATGGTTGACCCATGA